TTAGTACCTTCCTCCAACTGCTGATATGCAATGCACAACGGCTGTTGGTTCAAGTTAGGGGCTGTAAGTTCCCTTAGAGTTCGATTGTCAGCCATCTCCTCTTCTTCTTGAATATTGAAGGTGTATGTTGATTCACTGGGGGTTGTTCTTGCCTCTTTTCGCAACCTGGAAATATTTCTTTCAATTTCTGGATCAAACTGCAAAACTTCTTTGTTAGCAGAACGGGTACTTATCATACCCTAGAGAACAAACAAAGAGAGTAACTAAGAACAATCCTAAAATAAATTCTACTAAGATAAACAATTAAAAAGTAACGCCTAGTTCCCCGGCAACGGCGCCAAAATTTGGTGATGCCTTAGTCGTATGCAACCAAAAATATCACAACTAAGCTAACTGCAAATAAACGTAGTTAGGGAAGTCGAGTTCGAATCCACAGGGAAAAAGGACTAATGATTGGAAACCTAAGTGGAATTATTCTAGGAATGTAGTAACCTAAGTAACAAGGGGGGTTTTCACGAGTAATGATGACGAATGAACTAAGTAAGAACAACGAACGTAATGAATAGGTAATCAATGAGGAGGACGGTCTTGGTTATGCGAAATCCACTAATGAACATACAAATTGATCATGGAAATCCTTCAATCAAACACTATTGAACACCTTGTTGTAGAATTCTAGATTCTATATTCTCATAATTAGTTAGAAATAGCAAAGCGCTCCTCTCTAACCCTTTCCAATGCACAATTCAAGACAAGCGCTCTAAATTATCCACAAGAAGAAAATAAACGGAGAAATCAACAAGGATTGAATAAATTAACACAAGCGGTCTAATTTCTTCAATAATAATATTCCTTCTTCAAATTATAAACCAAAAGCATGCATTCATAATCTAAAGTTGCTACTTTGGAAAGATTCAATTAGACGCAAGCGAATCTAACAATTCTAACCTAGCAATTGACTAAAGAAAATCATGAAATTAATTCAAGGAACAATATATATTCAATAGATATTAAGAGAAGAAAGATCTTACAATTCGTAGCCAAAAGCTTCAATCTTTAACCAAGAATCCGGAAGATTAAGCTTCCATGGAGTCTAATTCTCAAAACAAAGATTTCTGAAAATTGTAAAGAAACCCTAGAAAGCTTTTGCTTCTCAAAAACTTAATTCTCATTAACTCCCTTTAAAACTTAATTAAAACTAAGCTATTTATATGTTTCTATATTCTAATAACATAAAACAATAATAATAATAAAATAATATCCAAAACACGAGCCAAGGGAAGCAAAAATTGCTGAAAAAAAAGCCAAAACACTCGAAAATCTGGACGAGCCGCTGCCAGCTGCTCTGGACCCGCTGGCAGCGGCTAAGGCAGCAAAACGCCTTCTCTCTCTGGCTGACCCGCTGCCAGCGGCTCTGGCCAGCTGCCAGCGGCCCTGGCAGCGGTTCCTGCTTTTTTTGCCTTCCTTCCTTGCTTCCTCTTCTTGCTTTGCTTCACCTTTTCCTCAAGCTTTCCTCCTTGCTCTTCCATGCTCCATCACAACTCTCGAGCCACGAGCCAAGGTCCATCCTTCATATTTCTCCTCATTGGTTCCCGAGCTCACTCACTCACTAACACTCATAAATCCCGTCTTTTGTACATAAGTGAGATCACCGCCCAAAACTCACAAAAGCTATTAAAAACCCATGCAAAGCATCAAAACACACCCTAAAACGCTTCTCTCAAACCTTGATAAGAAGGCTTATCAGGCAACATGAATATAGTTAATGTTTTTGTAAAGTGATCTTTATGCAAAGGCTTCATAAAGTTCACAAGTTCATAGATGTTTACGAGTTTATCTGCCATTTCTATGGTTTTCGGAGCCTTGATGACCCATTTTCCGGTTTCCTTGTCACGCGCATGTAGAGAGCAAATGAAATCTCCAGCACGACTCACCAATGTAGTGATCGTGGAATCAGTAAGGTTCTTTGGAGGACCCTAGAAGGCAGTGGGGTATACTCCCTCCTTGACCACGTTTCCCTCCATTCACCAAATGTCTTACACCCCATGCGATGGGTGTATTGCCTCTGCAATGCATTTTTAGAATTTTGGTCCCTCAGTTCCTACATAATTAGAAATGTTAGTATCATTACTTCAAAAAGAGTTAATATATTATACAATTGCCATCAGATTTACTTTAACTTACAATTGCTTCCTTTTTACTTATTTGAAGAACGAAAGCTTCCCAATCATCCTTCGATACGTTTGGCCATTTTTGCCATGGGAGTTGCTCTTCCTCAATGACTTCATCATCATTGCCACCTCCTTTCTTGTTCTTTGGTTATCTCACAACTGTCTTTGTGATCCACCCACTAACTAAGGTGGTCTTGAAGCCTCTGAATCTTTCCGCTGGTAAAGATTCAAACACCCTTCGCTTGGCGGCATCATTAGGAATATTAAACAGACTCTGCAACCACAAATAAAAGCGATTATTAGTTTCCCCTTTTAAATAACAATAAAGTGAAGGTTTTTAATATTGTGTAAAGGTGCAAAGAAAACACTTGCCCTTGTATCATTCCAAAATGTGTCAATCAAGCCTGGAGATACTTCCGCCAACCAAGAGTAATGGGGATTTTACGCGCACAAATGGCAACATGAACATCATATTGATGACGTCATTTTCCTGTAGGTTGGTTTGCCTTGTCATACTCCAAGACCATGGGACTAACGAGTTTCTTGAAACTTGTCGTCGGGCCTCTCACCTTTTTTTTAGCCGGTTCCTTCACCCTCCATCCACTTTGTCCTCGGCTTTGAGTGTGGGAAGTAGGATTCTCACCAAACGTCTCAGAAACTGTATTTTCAATAAGAGGCGCTTGTTCAGCTGAAATTTCAAATTCATCAAGCCTACACTCTAACTCAACCTGAGCCTGATCTTCCGCCTCACCCAAATCAGGCTCCTTGTTCACATCATACAGCTCATTTTCATCCTCAGAGAAATCATCATCATCATCATCCTCTATATCCTCGACACGGTTACGGTCCTGATCGTCCGCCATGAGATGTAAAACACCTGCCATTACAAACATAACACGTTATTAGTTGTAATATAAATAAATTTGTAAGGTAAAGTTATAACCAAAT